TGTCTGCCCTGGGTAAATGCGCTGATTACTTTCATGAGAATAGCATCTTGGAGCATTTAGAGGATCACAAAAACACATTGACTCTGCATCACTTGTTGAGCTAATGTGGGAGTTTCTCAAGTTAAACTGATATTTGTCTGCACTAGATCTATCATATCCATACATATCACCACCAAATAGTCTAGCAGAGTTATTTATTAATGTCAGAGGTATATTTGGTGCCATTAATTTCATGTCGCTACTCGTTGACTCTTCAACATAGATTCCTCCACCTTTATAAGAAGCATGATTATCAATAAACTCCAAGTTAGCTGATGGTGTTAATATCAATATTGATGAGTCGTTTATTGCTAATCCTCCTCCAACTACTCCAGTATTGTTCCTGAATATTAAATTATTCTTAATTGTTACTAATGATCTTTCAAGTGTCAATCCTGTTGAGGTACTGTTAGCAACAGTAACATTACTGAGACTAATAGGATTAGATAAACTGTTTGTTATCTTATTTCCTCCATTTCCAATAAGTTCAGTATCTATTATGTCAATTTGGGTGAATCTCAAGAATTTTCCATCAATGTATAAGCCTTCATTTATATTGTCATACATCAGACATGATCTAATAATTAAGTGATAGTTCATTGTTCCAGGTAAGTACATGTCACTCTTGATGTTTAGTCTGAGGTAAAATCCCCTTAAAGTATGATAAAATTGTGTGTCTTTAAATACAAGAGTGGAAATCAATTCAACACCAGAATAATTGCAGTCAGTGCTAATTTTTTTTCCAAAAACAATGCTTACATCATATCCATTAGCATAGTTGACATGATGAAACAATGACTTGGTGACAAAAAAATAAAAAAGACTGTCACTCAAAAATAACGAAGCCCCAGCACTTGTTACAGTATTGCTGTAGTCAACATGATCAAAGTTGATTGATGCATTGTAAGAGGAGCCGTGCTCCATGTTTAGTTCCAGTATAGTGCCCTTTAAGGCAACATTGGTCAGTATCAATGAGTAATGGGGTAATTCCTTACTGCATACTGGAAGAGGATTATACTTTATTTTGATAATATAGGCAATGAAAACTGATGACAGTACCTTAACATCAAAAGCATTTAAAAATTTGATGCTAATATGGACTGCCTCTGTGATAAAGAACGAATTAGTTATCGTAATATTGTTGGATGAATAGATATCAACTAGGCAGTTACTAATTGATAAATTTGAAATATTGATATGGCTGCTGTCGTTGACTAAAAGAAATGACTTATAATAATTTATGCAGTGAATAAGAGGAGTCTGATCCAGTCCATGTAGAGTAACATTCTTTACTGCAGTCATGTTAACAACATAATTGCTGATGCTACTAGTTCCAATGAAGTATAAGATGGTGTTATTGTATTGAGACATATCCCTAGCATACACTGATAAAGGATTACAAGGTGACTGAGTAACTGAACTGCAGTCATCAGACACATAATACTGACCAGAGGAGACACTGCAGGAACTACTGAAGAATAAGAGAACAACCACTAACAGGAGAGACATAGCTACTGCTTGTACTGACTAGCAAATTCACTCATATACTTGTGAGAAATGATATTGCTGTAGCTTTTTGCATGCACATATGTCATGCATTCACCTATTTATAGGTGGTTGTACTTTCAATCTGATTATGTGGGTGGTTGTTATGGCATAAACATGTTGACACTGATTTAGAAACAGGAAAGGCATACTGTATACTTCTTGACTGACTAGCACATCATTATTAGTGACATGAGAGATGATATTGTAATGGGCTGTGGGTAGTTTGTGCATGCTCCTTATGTCATTCACCTATTTAGAGATACATGTAGTTGTGTTTTTGGACTATTCCCTCAATCCCTGTGGTGCATGAGTTACCAATGATAACCAACTAATTATGCATTAGCTGCTCAACATTCTCTAAATATGGAATTGTAGTATGTAGTCTTTGTGATAGATTAGCTATTATTCAAATTATTGTAGGAATACAATGTTTCACAGTCTGTAGTTCATTTCTACTACAGTATAGCGGGTTATTTTTGAGGATAACAAATTTCACAGATTTTTTGAGATTTGCGAAATTACATGTAATTCTGCGATTTTCCAGACACAGGTCATTCGCAAAATTTATTATCCTCAAAATAAACCCACTATACGGTATACTTATACTCAATATGTCTGAGTAATACTTGTATAGATGCTGGTATATCCTCTTTCTCAGAGATTTGATTACTGAGGATGCATGTTTCAGAGGGCAATAGCTAAAATACATTTAGTGTTAAAAGAAGTATTATTATATAGGCGGTAGCCTATATTACCGTATAGCTTGATATTTTCGTGGGTCGATATTTTCGTGGTTTGCTCCTGGTGGGGCAATTCGTGGTTTAATTTTCGTGGTTGACAGTTTACATAGCCTGTAAGGGGATGGCACTTCAATGATTTCGTGGGTTTAAATTTCGTGGGCAGCCCCATAACGTCGAAAACCACGAAATTTACATTCCACAAAAATTTCAAGCTATACGGTATGTAGGATTGACATGCCACTGCATTAGCTATATCTAATGTAACATGTAGCTATTCAGTAGTTATAATTGCAAGCATATCCTAACTCATTTACCGTGCATATGCAATGTTTGTGTACAATATAAATAAACAGCTATTGTTGATAGTACCTTGCATTAAACCCACAATTTCCTGATGCCTAAGACATCCCTGACTACCCTAGCTTGATTGAATGCACCTTGTGCCTGCTTAGTAGAGCAAAACACTTTGATGATGTAGATTTACATGTATTTCTTCAATTTTGTCACTTTGTAACTATTATAATATTTTGTTAGGTGGAGATGAATAAACCAACTCGTATGCTTCACCTCAAACTAACTGATGGAGGTCTAACTATTAATGGAATGGAATATTCGCTGATTAGATCAGTCAATACTGACTCATCACCTGGTATTAAAGTATGTTGCATACAGTTATAATAATTATAATATTTATGTTGAGTGTATTGACATAATAGTGGGTTATAAAGAATTTATGACATGAAACTACAAATGTAATTTTGTAGTTTACATTTGAAGTGTGGGTTGATTGAGGGTTTCCCACTAAGTGAGCTAAAAAACATAAGTACTGCACAATGTAGTACTAACAAGGCTTTTGGAGCAACTTTAAAAATTCATTAAAAAATCCAAAATTGATCAGAATCAGTTTAAACTTGCTACACAACATAAAAACACACATATAACTATTATTTTTTAAAATATAGAAATGGAGGATTCTCTTCTAGTCATTTTTGTCATAATTTGGCCAAAGACTGGCCCAATTTTTAATTGATCAGAATCAGCTCAAACTTGATAAGAACATGTATATGTATCAGACTTAAAAATATACATGTATGAAGAACTCTCTTCTAGTAGATTTTGACCAAAATTTAGAGCTATACTGTGCTTTAATCCTTCTTTCTGTTCATAGATATGTTTGAATGGCCCTATCAGATACAGATTAGGTACTTTGCTATTAACTGATGATAATGTCAGTGTGTTAGGAGGAGCTGTTGAGGACCTAGTGAATATTAATAATCAAGGGAAAGTACTAGCCAGAGAATTGTAAGGATTGAGAGATGTCATGAGATGTAATGCAGAGTAATAGAAATGAAAGATGTACCGTATAGCAGGTAAATTTGGAGGGGTTAAATTTTGGCGAATTGCTAAATTTTGGCAATTGGCTGGTTTTAATTTGGCAAATTTGTGGCCACGTGCCATTGAGCATGCGTATAATGGCTCAAAATGGTGGGGTTTTATTTTGGCGAATGACTTCAAAACGCCAAATTTAATCCCCTCCAAATTTACCCGCTATACAGTACTGTACATGTATATTGTTAAGAATAACTGTACAGCTAGACATTTTTGTGGTACTAATTTTGTAAATGCAAAAATTTAATGTGTAAATGTTTTCCAAAATGCATTTGCAACAATACTATGGACGAAATGAATTTTAGTGGCTATTTGGGCTAGTATAATATAGAAACAGAGAAGATTTAATCAGTGAAGGAGAAGGAAGAGAAACTACTGAAGCATTAGATCCAGAATTAATTATGTTAATATCGATCAATGAATTGAAGCCATTACTAAGAACACACAAAGCACCACCTACTGTATATGTGAAGGTAAATATTGTTTGTTATTGTTATTATACAATAAAAATAACATTAATAGATAGCTTACCCATACACCATGGCTGAGGTTATGAAGCATGCTTTGTACCACACATACACTTCCAATTTTTATTACATTTTATAATACATATCGATATCCTCATGCTATGTTTAAACTGCTTCCGACAAATAATTTTAAGTTTTGAGCATTTTAGCCAATTTTTAAAAAAGCAAGGTCACAATTTAGTGCATGGCCTTGGCTAAATTTTCATGATGTAGGAAGTGCAACTTTTTCTCTTTGTTAGAGTCATGATTATCTTATTATAGGCAACTATATTGAAGTTGAATGGGTCCCTATCTCCTGATAGAGGAGTGTGGTACCTACAAGTAACAATAGCTGATGGTACAGGAGAGATGCCTGCTGTACTGGGGAATGCACCACTAGAAATATTAATAGGAATCAATGCTAGAGACTTTTACAGTGTACCACGAACACAAGGGGAAGAAGTAATTCAACCACATCCATTAATATTAATAATTATACATAATGTGTGTGATTATAGGGACTGAGGAAATGTAAAGAAGTATTGTCAAGGTTACACTGTGTGATGGAGCTAACAATAACTAATGAACCAACTATAACTAGATTATTAGATGTATAGAAGAAAATATATAATAATAATTAATTTTAAAATGTATCATTACTCTGTATTATTAATTTATTATTATTATTATTATTATTATTATTATTATTATTATTATTATTATTATTGTTTATTGTTATTTATAGCAGTATAATATTTAGTGTGTCCAGTTACTAATTGTGATGGTGATGATGAGTGATTGATATCAGGGGAAGAGGAGAGACCAAAATTTGAAGGGGGATGAGGAGCAACTACAGTATAGGTATCAGTAGCTTGGGAATTAGGAGTAAGAGTATGAGTATCTTCAGAATGGGAATGAGGGAGAACAAAAGTATAGGTATCAGCAGCGTGGGAATGAGGAGCAACAACAGTATAGGTATCAGCAGCATGGGAATGAGGAGCAGCAACAGTATAGGTATCAACAGCATGGGAATGAGGAGCAACAACAGTATAGGTATCAGCAGAATGAGGAGGAACAAAAGTATATGTATCAGCAGCATGGGAATGAGATATTTCAGCTTGAGAATGAGAGCTCAAGGATTGAGTATGAGGAGTTGGAACTGCCTCTAACTCATCAATAGGATCAGAAGGAAAAGAATACTAAGAACAACAAGAATAATTTAATTTGACAAAACGAGTATAACTTTTACCTTTTTCAGTATTTCTTGACATGTGGCAAACTTAACCTCCTTTTTCACGCAGCTCCTCTAATAATAATAACAATATAAAAATTAATAATAACAATTATAAGCATGTACATATACTGTACATGTACATGTACAATGTACATGTACGAAGCAATGAATATAACAAGCAGCTAATGTAAAAATTATGTAACAAACAATGTAAAGTATCAAACACAATATTAACACACTGCAAAAATTTTATCAACTCTTCAGTGATTTTATTTCATGTACTTCTACATTCTATTGTATGCTAGTCATAGCAAAAATAATGAAAAAAATTTGACTGATAAAAAAAGGAATTTCGCCAGAAAATTTGACATTACATCATACAAAATGCACCAAATTAAACTAGAAAAACCAAAATTGAAACTCATGTACATGTACTGTATAGTGGGGTTTTTTTAGGATAATAATTTTTGTGAACGACCTTATATCCGGAGGTTTGCGGAATTAATTTTCCATAATAAATTGATTGGCAAGGAATTTAATTTTGTGAATCTTAAAAAATCTACGAAATTTGCAAAATTTGTTATACTAGAAAAACCTTGTTATACGGTATAATTAGTGTTTAGTGACACAAGAATTACAATAAAATAATACTCACGTACTGTAAATGTTCAAATAAAAGCCAGGGCATTTATTTCTTTCCAGGACAAAGAAATTGCGTAAGATAAAAAAAGAAAAAGTAAAACTGGGATTCGAACCCGAAACTACAGACTTAACACACTCAGCTTAACAAGTTAGGCCATTTGGGACACTCTAAAGATTGTGGGACTTACATGTACATGTATATTGAATAAAATATGCGTATCTTTACTTGGAGATTCTTAGTACCAGGCATTTATTCAAGCCCGGCCTTTATTTGAACATTTACAGTACATGTACATGTATAACTGACATTAACTGTACATGCGTTGTACCTTTCTCTGGGCTATTATGGTAACAGGTATGTCTCTTATCAACTTGTGAGTAAATGGATGACGATACATTTTAGTCCTAGTGGGTGTGGTGACTGTAGTCTGTTGACATGGCGACAGATACGACAAATCCGTGTCATCCTTTTCTCTCTTCGTCTCGTACGATTCGTCATCAAAATTCCGTCGCCTTTTTCTCTCGATGCGGGATTGTTCTTGATAATTATCAAAAGTGAATAGAGTATCGGAAGTATCAATTACTTCATCATCAATTTCTCTTCTTATTTTCGGTAATTTCGGATACAGAGAAGGTTCATTATTCAACTCTTCTTTGCCAGTCAATAGAGAACAAGCAACAGTAGTCATTACAATGTCTCCGTGTCCATGATAAGGTAACTCAGCGAAAGAAAGCACTGACTCCACCTCCTTCCCCTTCATCTCATACAGATACTGCCCATCCTCCGTTATACCATATATGGTCAATAAATTATTAGGATGACCGGATATGCTTGCTAGTTTAAGGGCCTGGTTTTTAAGAGAGAAACTCTTCCACGAGCAACTAGTTGAGAATCCGCTATTTGGTAATTGAAACAGCCATAAAGTATCATTCCTTTTTGAATAGCACCATAAACCCTCTGCTGCAGTGGTCACATTATCAAACAGTAATTGCGAAGTCGCTCTAAATAAACTGGATATGTACCCCAGCATGCTGACTATCGGCGGTTTACTAAGTTTCTCCCATTTGATTGGTCGCGTGTCATCTGAGATACCATGGCAACCGTGGACTTCCCCTCCCTCCGTTACGCCATATAGGAAATCACTCGTTGTCATGGTAACATGTGCCAATTTTGGCGGGAATGGCGGTGATATTTCTTCCCATTTTATTGGACAATAACTGGAGCTTCTCACTCGACCGATATTTCCAATTAATGTCCCACCCTCTCTCAATACAGCTACCAAATACTTAGAACCAATGGCGACTTTAGTGACATGACAACGAGTGGGTAGCCACGCCTTCCCCAAAGGATTAGAATAATTGATTTTATCTCGTACGTGTAATTCACCGTCTTCCTTAACAACAGAGCAGACGGAATCATTAGCTCCACCCACTACAGACCCATATGGGCTGGTCTCCTCAACTTGTCTCCATTTCATTTGAGTCTCTGGGTCACTGGTCACGTGACAAAGAACATGTACCCCGCCTACATCATCACATATCCACAGGTGAACTGCACTGCAATTATCACCGGAGGCCATGGATTTTCTAAAATTTATTTTATTTTATTTCAAAGATTTTTTTGAAAAGAAAATGTCCACTCCTCTTGGGGGTGTGGTGACACCGCCCACTTTCAAAATGGCGTTCTTCTCTGGAGTGTTGCGATCGAGTGCTGCGAGTCATATTTTATCCAACACACTCGTGTTTGAGGCCTTTCTGTTCGCTTATCTCACTGCAGCTCTCTGGATGCAAAATATAAATATTTATAAAACAGTAAGGCCCAGCCAATACCGTTAATACTTAATTATTGTAAAATTTCTATTATTTTATTTTCCATTTTTTATTTGTTACAAATGGGAGACTAATCAGGGTCGGGGTTTCCCACAAAGTATGTTATGTGAGCTAGAAAGCTTTAGCTTCATTAGCTGACAAGCATTATAATACAGTACATGGGATTTGGAGCTACCTATTAAAATAATTCATAAAAAATTAAATTTTGATCGGAATCAGCTTAAAGTTGTTACCCATCATAAGTACATGTATACACATCAGAAAAAATTATAAAAATGGAGAATTTTCTTCTAGTCATTTTTGACGAAATTTGGCTGAAGACCCTGTACTATAGTACAGGGACTTTGGCCTGATTTTTGAGTAACTTTAAAAATTCATGAAAAATTTAATTTTGATCAGAATCAGCTCAAACTTTCTACACTACATAAAAACATGTATATGTATCAGGAAAAATTATAAAAATGCAAAATTCTCTCCCAGTCATTTTTGACGAAATTTGGCTGAAAACTCTGTACTATAGTACAGGGACTTTGGCACGATTTTTGAGTAACTTCAAAAATTCATGAAAAATTAATTTTTGATCGGAATCACTTTAAACTTTCTACACTACATAAAAACATTTATATGTATCGGGAAAAATATTTAAAATGCAAAATTCTCTCCTAGTCATTTTTTGACAAAATTTGGCTGAAGACCCTGTAGTCTGTACTATAGTACCGGGACTTTGGCCCATAGTACTGGTAGTTATCATCATGGCACATGTACTTATCATGGTACTAGTACACACGTAGTTCTTATACTGATGGCACTCTCATAGCCATGTCTTTGTTATCTGTTTTTGATTTGTTACTGTCCAATTTGTACCTGAAATCATACATTGGTTTATTTTCACAATGACAGATTTGTGTGAATCCAGCATGGATGTCACGAAAAATTATACCATGTGGCAATGAAAATGTAGGATTCTGTGGTTTTTATTTTCATGATGAAACAAAAGAACGGGAAATTTGCAAAAATATTTCCCAATGAAAACAAACGATAATAATAATCATTATCTTCATGATTGTATTCTTTAATTTCTTTCTAGAATCTTCACTTGATTGATTATAATTTACTGTTATTTATCGTTCTCTTGCTCTCTCGTCGCCTGGTGTGGGCGGGGTTTCAAGGAATACAAGGACGTGTCAAGTTTTTGGGTTTGAACTCTCGTTACTGGTTTGTGTCTGGTATAGTAGTCTCCCTGGTTGCCTGGGTTGTCAGGGAGCTACTCCAAAGGGCCTCAGTCTTCAACCTTCTATTTCTGTTTTATCCGTGAGTTCATACACCTACTCTGTGCACATGTACAGTGTATAATAAATATTAGTTGAGTCTTCATGTATGCTAATTTAGTGTGATAGTGTTATGTTATTTATGCTACATGTACATGTACATGTAAATGCATTATAAGTTGTAGTACAGGCAATTAATATTTGATGAGTTTCAAATAATTGGTCACTTTGTACATGTACTGTACATTGTATTTCAGACGGCCCTTTCTGTTGATATATTTATGTATAGTCAATGTACATGTACATGCACTTGATGCTATAGTGTTAAATTTGGCACATGTACATGTATGGACATGTGTTTTACATGTACAATGTACATGTACTTGCACATGTAATTTTTATTCATCATTTTATCATTATTGTGATTCTAATTGTATAGAAATTCTCTACCATCATTTTAGGTGTCAACATGATAAATTATAATTTTTTTCTTTTACAGTGTTCTCCTCTACCTCTCGCTGTTTGGATTCACTTTAGACCCAAGACAGTATCGAGAAAAATTTGCCCCTCCTCGCCGCTTCCTTGATCATGTGACGACTACTCGCTACGGAAGCCATTTCAGCAGCACTAATATCCTCCTGCTCCCAGTATCACCTGAGACTATTCGTCAAGAAGTTAACGTGTTGATCTCTGATTTGATCGTTCGCTTGAAACAATTGTTGTTTAATTCCCTCCTCTGTGCTTATTATGTTGGATTCATTCCTATACAGTTTACACCAGTAAGCTATAAGTGTTTGAATGTGTGAGCTACATGTACATGTACATGCACTAAGTGAGATATGTACTGTATAGCTGGTAATTTTGAAGAGGAGTAGATTTTGGTGAATTGCTAAATTTTGGTGATTGGTGAGTTTTAATTTGGTGAATTTAATATTGAGTGTGCATAATGGTTCAAAATTACAGATTTTTATTTTGGTGAATGGCTAGTAAAATGCTAAATTTGCCACTCCTCCAAAATTATCACAAGAGAATTAAGAACATGTACATGTACATGTACATAACAGAATGTACATGCATGTACACATGTACATGTACATTAATAACAGAACATGTACATGTACATGTACATACAGTATTCTCATATTACTTGGCTCCTGGAATATAAGGGCATTGGAATGTGCAATGGTGTTTTTATTGCCATAATTTTCTTGTTTTTTCCATAAGTGGATAAATGATACTATTATCATTATTTCCTTTTGAAACAAAACTATCGTAAGAATGTACATGTACTTGTAAGTATCGGAATGTAGTTGCATGTCCATAAAATACATGTAACTTTAATTATATTCATTGTTTTGCCTACATGTACATGCTGACATCAGCAATTTATGTTTCATTATTCATGTTTCATACACTATTTGCACGTACACACCAGTTTATATTGCCATATACTGTAAGTTAAATGAATATTAATGGACCACTTACCTGTATTAGCTTTGCCCATGAACGAAGAAACTATGAATCAAATTGTAGTGGCCTTTGAGTGCATGTATATTGCTATAAATTTGTAGCTCTAACTTTGTATGCAGCATAAAAGCATTGGTGCATTTATACATGTAATCTATAGTACACATGTTCTTTGGTTACTGGCTCTGTTTTTTAAACTTCCTGCACTTCTTATCCAAATCCAATATGACTAGTGCCAAATTATGTTGCAAACATGGCTGAAAGAGAACAGCGTTGCTGCTTGAATTTGCTGCTCTAAAGGCTAGTTTACAATATTATGCTAGCCCTGACGTTACATTGACACTGGAATAGAATCTGTTTCTATTCTAGCAGAAAGCATGCGTCAAAAGGTGAAATCGCCCACTCATTGAATTAAAAATTGAGGTACGCTGGCCTAATGTCATTGTAAACCAGCCTTAACTTGAACAAACTTCCTGTACTTCTTATCCAAAATAATGATTATAGTGCCAAATACACAAATGTAATATTGCAAGCGTGGCTGAGTAAAGAGAACAACAATAGCAATGTTGGGATTTGGGAGGGAAACTGTTTGAGTTAATGTTTACAAAAAATGTTTTTGTTTTTAGAATCATGTGTATTTTGACAAATGGTGGAGTATAGAGTTGTGTTTCTTCATTTGGGCTAATTCATTTGTTATCCTCTCCTGTCTCCTGTTACCTCCTAACTATTGTCAAATACTCCATCATTGTGCTCTGAATCTAGGATGCTGGGTGAGATGTAATAATGTTGAAAAACCTCAACAGTAAGTCCTGCGTATTGAAATAGGGTCAGTATACTATTAGTAACTATTAGTATTATTGTTAGTATACTATTAGTATAATTATTCTAGCTGACCTTATAGTATAATGGTGCAGTGCAAATATTAACACATGTCTATGAGTTATAATTATAATTTCTTCCTTCTCTCTCAGGTGGTCAGCTGATAAGAAGTGGCCCTTTGATGCGGTGGTAGAATTCAATAATGAGTGCTTTAAAGGTGAAGGGCCTCAAAATGTAGCCATTCCCTGTGACTCTTCACAAGAATGCTTTTATGTAAGAAATAGAATTATGTACATGTACAGTGTAGCAGAAAATTCTTTTGGCCCAATTTTTTTTTTTTTGCAAAATTCGTGTTTTTTCAAAATTCACAAAAATAGAATCTACGAAAATTGTTGATTAAATATAGTTCAACATGGCCAAAAAGTTTTAAAAAATCATGAAAAATAAGCCACAGAATGTAGATTTTTGGAAAAATTCAGGAAAATTTTGGGCCACAAAAATTTCAGCTACATGTATTATATTGATTATTCTTTTTCCTTTTTTAACTCCAGTTATTATTCAACTCAAGGCTTCATATAATATCCTGGCTGCTGGCAATGCAATGCGTTGTGGTCCTGTTTGAGATGGTTGTTCTTTTAAGAGTTGTCCATTGGTATCAGACTCTCAGCATTTCCGTTTTCCTTTTATTCAATTACTTCATACTACACAGACTATTGTATAATAGACTCATTCATGGAAAAATACTAAAAAAGTTACAATAAATTTTAATTATTAATAATAAATTTATTGATTCATTCATACATGTACTGTAGCTAGTTTTGTTTGGAGCAGCATACACTCTTGAAGTGGATACTCTCTATAGTGGGGACCTCCATTAATTTTAATGGACTACACCTAGTGTACAAATAATGCATTTTTAATGTATAAAATAATTTCCACATAAAGGACATACCTCTAGTACTTCAGACAAACTTCTTGTACCCGAGTTGTATGTTATTATAATGAGGTTAATTACTATAAGGAAAAGGAAGGCCACCCAGTTAGGTAGTTTCCATTAAGTAAATTATTATCATAATCTGCAGTAAGGGAGTGTTGCTATGATAGCTGTTTGCTTTCATTTTCATTGTTTGCGTTATGTCTTTGTTTGTTTGTCAATGACTTTTAGTTGTCAATTGAGTAAGAGTATTGTCATTATACTTCAGCTTTTTAAAATAGTTTTTGAACTAACATAAAACAAAAATTAAAGCAAGGGTAAATAAGTGTATTATCAAGAGTACATGTACACATACTCTTGGTAATATGCAGCAAATTTATAGTGTGTGCATGTGCATCATGGGAATGCATTATTAAATTGACCATGCTTAAAAGCAGAAGTCCATTTAAGAGTTATAAATTCTTAATATGTCTTCTTTCTTTATCCTGCATATTGGACACAACAATAAATGTTGTGAACAATCATGACACACACACAGGTGTCCACAGGGTACTATAGCATATTGCTTTGTATTATCAAGACACACAACACAGAGCTTGTCCTCTTCTTCTGGCAAGGATTGGCTTCTTGTTAGTTCATGTGTTAATGTAGGGCTTGGTGTATGATGCATGTTAGGTAGAGAGTAAGGTGTTGGTGGTGTATGTGGGTTTGAAGATTTACACAGAATAAGAGCAGGTAAACTTTCCTGTACTTTCTCTTTAGAATCTCCTCTTGATTTGTACAAGTATTTGTTCTGTAATTGCCTTCTTGTCATGATGGGAGCTGGAAGAGAAGCAGTGTCTTCATTTTCTTGAGCAACAGGACAATCTGGACTCATCTTAATGTGTATGCCAGCTGGACCCTTTCCATCCATCCACTCAATATCAGCCACCAAGTCACATGAATAACACTTAACCTTTACAGCTGGATCAAGTGAAAGGAGATGAAAGCCAGATTTAACAAGATCATCAATTGGCACTTTGCTTGTCTTCGGATAATGTTTAAAGGATTGACGGCGTGATTCTTCCTTTGAGAAATCAATTACCAATTTAGAAGAGCTTTTGTGCTTCATAGCCTCCATTAGGAATGAGCAATTTTTTGACAATTTGCCATGCACAGTAAAAGGATCATCTCCCTTCTTCCATTCCTCATTTCTACAACCACAAGTAAAGCATTGAGTGATATCATCCTTACCAGTATAGTACCAGCCAGCTTCAACCAACTCAAGAACGCCAATTACCCTTGGTATTGGCCAGTACTTGAATGAGCTCTCACGATTTTTTAAACTTTTATAAGCTGCAAATTTGATTGAGCATAATTCTTCAATGCTGAATTGATACTGCTCTCTGATAAACTGGCAATTAGGCTCGGACTCTAAATGACGCCATAAAATATCATCATGTATTGACCAACTTTCAATCCTTACTCTACAAACATGGCATTCAACTATATCTTCATGACCTGTAAAGCAGAAGCCATGAGAGGCCAATGCTGCAATGAGCCTCTCATCTTTAGCCCATGATGGCTTTAAATAGAAAGATTCAACTCTCACATCAAAGGACTGATAATCAAATCTATGCTCCCTTTTGTTATGCTTTTTCAAATCTTTTCGTTTTTGAACTACATGTACTTCAGAAGTAGTAGTGGGCTCAGTTATTGACTTTCTTGTAATTTGTGGACTTACTGATCTCTTTCTCTCTTTGCTGTGACTCCTCTCTTTTGACCTACTGGCCCTATTCTCACTGACACTCCTCTGATATGCCTGTTTTTTTGGTTTATCGTAATAGTGTGGAATGATACCACTAGTAGGTGTAACCATTTCATCTCTCCTGCCATAACCATGATGACCCTGTCCAGTGTAACGTGGTTGCTGAACACCCACCAGTTGATCTCGTTTGCTCGAATAAGGGTTTGCTACTTTCCCATCCCTGCCTCTCCCATCTCTATGATATTCATCTTCAAATCCATCAGTAGCAACAGTGTCAAAAGTTTCCAGGTACTCAAAGAAATCATTTCTTGAAAACTGACCAGCATCAAAGCTTCCTTTGGGCTGTAGCATAGTATCCATTCTAAAAGGATGAAAATAATCAATAATTATACAAAATAAGGCTTTCTGAGCTACCTGCTGGTCTAAGTTGGTTAGTGGTTACAGCAAAATTGAAGATTAAAGGTCAAAATTTGCAAAGAAGGACTAGGACACGCCCTACCCTTTCATAATCACGCGTTACTATAGCAACTAAATCAATAATGGTGGAATTTGTTTGCCATATTCAGATAGTTGGGAACTTAAGGTCTATTGACTATCACAAAGCTGAATATGTAGCTGATGTAAGAATGCAACATATTATTGCTATTAGACTAAGCTATTACTTTGTATTTTTCAGTTACTGGTAAGTGGTTATCCTAAGAGATTCAGTAAGGGGGCCAGTCAAGGGTTTATGGAGTTTCAGTGGAGAGAATACAAAGACAAACTGAGCAAGCTTAGTGATGGAAGCGTAAGAAATACTAACAGTTCATGTCATTAGAACTTATACAATACTGGAATTTACAGTTAAGATAATAACTGCCATGATAGGTGCTAACCACTGCTGCATACATGCCACTGCAAGTCTAGATTGTATAGTGGCATGGAGTGCCATAACTGCCAGGCATGCTAGCAGCCTAGCACTGGTTATGTATACATCTACATGTAGCTGATTTACAATATTTGGTCACATAGTTGAAGAAGGGAGTGATAAGTGTACCTCAGTGATGCTACAACATTGTATACTGCATGCTCATGCAGACTCAATTATAGCATCATGCATTATGCTACTGCAGATCTACACTGATGCAAAACACATCTAGCTACTAAATGATAGTCTCACAAATACTGATACCAGTTCTCCATTATCCTAATTAAAGTACTTTTCCTCTCTTCTCTGTCCTTACCTCAATAGAATGTTGAAGAGAAGCTGGTCCTCAATACAATGGGAGAGGCAGCAATATTTAGTAATGGAGAGCTGAGATGGAACACAGCAACCTTCTCCAACTGGGCAGAAATTGAATACTTGCCTGCTATACAGGAAGCTATGTGAGTTTGCATTCCTTTAGCCTAATCATACATTCCATTGTGAATGGTGTTACAATACGTGGGTATAGGCAATCAATTGACTTCCCTGATAAAGCCTTCCAAGCATATTCTCAATATATTTCTAATGAGAAGGTATGTTACTCTAATACTGCACACAAATGCACGCATGGCAAACAGATATTTGGCTCCATTCCATTTCAATCATGCATAGCTATCATAGACTAATCAGTGAGTATTTTTGGACACACACACTCACACAAACTTAATTATTCTTTGCCACTGCCTCTCTTTTATAGTATAGCTATGTATTCATGGAATTCAGTCATGCTGGCAAGCCTCTTGGTCAAATCTCATTTGAAGTAAGACAGACATATTGCACATAACTTGAGCTATACTTCCATATTACCTGCAAACTACTGACAGCATAGGTGACCTTAGTGTACATTTGTGTAAATATTATTTCATCAATGATTGCAAATAAAGCCACATCAAACTGTCAACATTGACCTTAGATAATAGAGTGTAATATATGTATATGCTTTGATGCATGCTTCTTCCATGAATATAGCTATTCAGAGAACTATGCCCAAAGACAACACAGAACTTTGTCTGTTTATGTACTGGAGAAAAGGGAGCAATAGAAGAGGAAGACTCAGCCATCATTAACCTAACATACTCAATGTCACTGATACACCGTGTGGTACCCAATGGCTGGATACAAGGAGGAGGTGATTATAGAATACAAGTACTGTATATGCATGACATAATGTGATTGAATTGATGGTGTACTGTAGTCACTCGGTATGATAGCAAATATCAGTGTAATCTAGGTTAGCTGATAAGGAAGAGAGGACATGCATACAACTTGTTAACCAGTTTGTGATTATGTTGTCGGATGAGACAAACAACAGAGGGAAATATAGAAGCTACTTATTTAGACTATAATACATTATTAGACTATACACATTATTATAAGCCCAGTATCTAATGTGTATTCACTATTCATTTCCCTTAGATATATGTGGTGGCAATGGTGATGGAGGCTATTCAATATATGGGCGCAACTTTGCAGGTGCAGACATAACTGCATTCATAATAACAACTTGATAATAATTGCTGTATTATATTCTTTCAATAGACGAGTGCTTTGCTGTTAAGCACAACAGTAAAGGGATCCTAGGGATGGTCAATCATGGAAGAAATACGAATAATAGTCAATTCTACATCACATTAGCACCAGCAGAATGGATGAATAATAGATACATGGCATTTGGGTGAGTGAGAGAGATAGAGAGAGATTAAATGATTTTTTCTCTCTCTCTATAGTCGTGTTATAGAAGGAATTGATACTCTAGAGGCTATAAGTAACATAAAGACGTTCAATGATAGGCCACAGGATCAGTGTATTGTAACACATTGTGGAATATTAACTGTACAATGAACTAATATTGATAGCAAAATTGTACTCCTACTACATTCTTCACATTAATTTTATTATTATTGTTATTATTATTATTAACATAAACTTGGAACATGTTATAAAGGCGACTGTAATTTTAACGATGTAACAAATAATAAACCCAGTCAATTGGCTTTTTAATTTTAATATCTTACTTTTTACAGCTTAAAGTTAGTTTTTAGTACCTAACGTGTAGATTAAAACCATGTAAAAGTTTTTTTTAAATGCAACCTGGTAAAAATACATGCATTCCAGATTCCAGTTTTTATGGTATTATTAATTTATTATTATTATTACTTTATGGTATTATTATTATTTTGTTATTGGGAGTCAGCTATTTATTTTTGTAAACAACATACTTGAAGTGATTACATTGATAGTTATTTATTAAACAAGAAATACCAGCATATAATCCAATAAACAAAAATATTATTATTCTACTCAAGGCAGTACTGTTATAATATAATCTCATTTGTTCTTGCTTTTATAGTAATCACCTACACACATTGTGTATGTAAGGAAAAAGGAGGAGGAGGAGGAGGAGGAGTGGAATGAGGGAGTAGTATCAATATACAATACAACATTCTTGACATCATTGCTATTAATTGTTATCCTGGGGGCGTATGATTATGTGTTTACCTAAACTGTGAATAGCTTCAGCAGTTATGCTGGGATACATTGACGTAGAAAAACTCCCGTAAATGATGTACTGCTTAGTCTGCACTGCAATAAAGCCTGATCCACCACCCTAGGGCCAAGACAGAAGGAATCAACAATAATGATAATAATAAGTTATCACACTCATTATAGTAACATTATTATAACTCTAGCTGGCACATAAATATTTACACTATAGATCCATTGATAGTGAAAATAAGGAAACTCTATCATGTTCTTAATTAGCTGATAAGGATAATAAGGATTATAATTTAGAATAATAAATACAGATAGCAATTAGATCAAAGTATTCATGACATGAAATTGACTAATTTGTCAATTACACTCATGAACCTTCACATGTACACACATGCATGATCAGATATTCTCAAATGGAGTCCCCTCCTTCTAATTTGTAATTGCATTACACATTACTAAAATTAATTATGAATCTTTAATATACATGTATATACAGGCTTCTATTTAAGGTTTTTGAGGGGATTCCTCCAAAATTGAGCTTTTGTGCTCAAAAATTGGGCCAAAGTTCTTGTATTATACAGGGTGTTTTAAAAAATTTCAAAAATTTCAAAAAGAGAAATCTCCATTATTATAATTTTTCTTGATACATGTTCTTATGTGGTGTAGAACATTTAAGCTGATTATCATTGGGGCGAGCATGAGCGAGACCCACACTAATCTGTCTAGGTCTATTTGCGTTACGTTTTGTTTATCAACGGAAGAATACGAAAATTAAATTAGTATACTATAATTGATAAATTTGGACCATGTGGGCAAAATTAATTTAGAGGGTGTGGTCAAAAAAGCAAGATGGCGGAAATTTTAACGTGACAAACTCAGATTGAGTTTCTAACAGAGAGGGGCTGTCTAAAGCATCTCTAAAGGGTGAAGAACTTAAAAGCAGTTTGATCTAAGACTCCTCTAGATTAGTCCTCTCATTGACAGAATTAAAATTGTGAGAGAAGCTTGATTAGAAGTTTAGCTTGTCACTTTTTCTCAAAGTATTAGGACAGTTCATTCTTGTCACTTTTACTAGATCATTTTGGTCAGTGGTGTTAAATAGTGGGTTTGCTCTGTTCAGACCCTGCCGGACTATGAGGATGGGGTCTGAATATGCATGCACGTTAAGAGCTGGATTGATTTTATTTCAGTAGTTTTATTTCAAAAAGATGTTAATTGATGGAAGCTTGATTAAAAGTTTAGCTTGGCACATTTTTTTCAAAGTGACAGGATAGTTCATCCTTGTCTCTTTTACTGGGTTATTTTGGTTGTGTTAACTGGTGTGTTTGCTCTGTTCAGACCCCGGCCATGAGGCTGGGGTATGAATATGCATGCAGGCTAAGAACTGGATTTATTATAATTTTAATCTTCTTATCAAACAATGTGAATTGATGGCTCGCCCCCTCAATGTTTACATTCACCTAGTTAAATTTAATTTTATTATGAATTTTTAAATTTATTCAAAAAATTGGGCCAAAAACAGGTACATGTACTTTGGCCAAATTTTGGCAAAAATTAAAATGAGAGAAATCTCCACTTTGATAATTTTTCCTAATACAGATTTCTTATGTTGTGTAACTAAAAAGTTTAAACTGACTCTCATTGAATTTAAACTTGCTACAAATTTTTAAAGTTACTCAAAAAATGGGGCCAAAGTTCCTGTACTGGCCAAATTTTGCCAAAAATTAAAAGGAAAAAATTCTGCATTTTAATAAAATATTATGTACACATGTCCTTATGTCATGTAAAAAGTTTGAACTGATTCTGATCAAATTTTGATTAAAAAAATTTTTTTAAGCTACTCCAAAAAAGACATGCATTAGTACTTGTAAGCTCATGAAGTACAGTATGTTGTTTAGCTCACTTAGCACACTTTATTATTACATGTGTGATTTCTACTAAAATTAAATTGACTTTTGTGGATTTTATTTTCGTGAATCAGAAAGGAATCTTCAAAATTCACGAAATTTGCAACTCTCGAAAAAAAAACCAGTATACAGTACAACCAGTACTTCTATAGTTCAACAGCAGCTACCATCTCCTAAACTAGTAACTTCTCCATTTTTTAAAGCAATCCACGTTTCTGTTTCAAGCAAAAATATAGTATCTGTAATTCAATTTGACATACATTGTACATGTGCATGTACATGTACACGTAATTCTAATTTTACAAAAGGAGTGGAATGAATTGTATAATTATATTTTAATTACATTTGCCCTTAGGTATGTCTTAGATCTACATGTACATGTACTACATGTACATGTAATACTGACCTTTTTCCCGTAAATGGAAGTGTTATCTGCTCTCACACATTGATATGACGCTCCATTAAAATCAATACCTTCTTCGCGTACTTTCTTAAGCTCATTAAACCCATCAACTAAGGACTGAACTAGGTCTTTACTAGGCTATGGAACGAAATGAGGTGATAGTCAACCATTCTTTCAGTTTATAAGCTCTACTTCAAATCCAATCGAGGCTGCCTTTACTGATCCTGATGCTTTCCTGATCAGACAACATGTCTCTACATTCCCAGTGGCCGTCAGAACCTCCTGCAGTAACTGTTGATGGGTAGAGGACATAAACACTGGGAGGTTTACATGGAATTGTATGGAAATTGGAAAATGATTTTCCCGTATTTTTCCGTTTACTGGCAAATTACTGCCCTTTTTTTCTGGATATTTTCTGGATATTTTTAGGATATTGCTATTGACCTATTGTCACCATAGCAACATTAACATGATAACTGTTCATGATAGAGAACTCTGCAGGGAACTCTTGGGGTTTGATCAAGAGAGAGAGGGAGAGGACGAAAAGAAGAGAGTGAATGTTTCACGGATTCATAGCGAGGCACAGTTCTCCGAAACTGCTACAGCTACTGCATTGTCTCGTACCAACACACACAGTCAACTACTGAGAGCTCAGGAATGGCTCAGTCGCAAAGCAAGGAGAACCATTGTTGTAAGTACACTATGCACTTGATTCATTATACTTGCTTTCTTTTAATGGTGGTTGCAGTCCTTACCCACTGAGCCTGATGTCAAAGCAATACAGTCCATGTGCAGCGAGTTGGAAAAGGAGAGACAAGAACTTTTTAAAGCAAGTCAATTTTAGACTTTGCAAGCAATCACCGGCAATATCTTTGTTTCTTTTGTAAAGGAGATTGAGGACTATTTGTCAACTGCAGCTCATTACAAGCAGTGCAAAAAGGAGATGCTCTATCAGAAATGGAAAGAGCAGGTCTTCCTTCCCTTGCAGTCAGCCATTACAAAGACACTTCAGTATTCCTACTCATTCAATGATACACAGAGAAAGCAGTTATTCAATCAATACCTCCATGTGCAGAACAATAAAGTAAAGCATGTAATATGCATACATGTATACTGTATAGCGGGCAAATTTGGAGTGGCTAAATTGTGGTGAATTGCTAAATTTTGGTGATTGGCGGATTTTTAATTTGGCGAATTTGTGGCCACGTGCCATTGAGCATTATAATGGCTTAAAATGGCGGATTTTTATTTTGGCAAATGGATATCAAAATGCCAAATTCGCCAAATTTAATCCCCTCCAAAATTACTCGCCATATGGTAATTTATGCACATGTATCACTATACTAGGGCGTATTTTTGGATACTATTACAGTGGAGGAGTACAATCCAATGAGACTACACTACATTGCAGCAAGAGCACAGGTAATCATGAAATACATGTACTGTATAGCTAATGGTTTTGTAAAGTTGTAGTTTTGATTGGCATTTGTATTCAAAAATTATAAATGTATATGCTCAATTTACATTCAAATTCAATAATCGATCACCAAAGAATTACCGACATTTACCCATTCAAAATATCAGCTAAATGTACATTGTATAATGGTACTAGAAGAAAAAATTATTATTGGGCTCACTGTTACATATGGTTGTACATGTACATGTACAGTACTGCAATAATGCTCAGTTGAATGATTACTAAGGTTTGTAAGGTTTTTAAGGCTTAGTCTTAAGGTGATTTTAGTTGTACACATATAATAATAATATTTTTTAATTTTCATCTTCATTTTCTTTCAATAGACTCTTTGTCTTGATGATCCATTGTTATCGCAGCAGAGAGATCATCTCAACGAACTGACTGTCATGCATAATTGTGATGTGGGTGTACCAAGTGATGGGTCAAGGAACATACAGACCACTGTGCCATCAGGTTGGACAAGCACTGATCCTGTTCAATGGCTGGCAATGAAGCTAATCCAAATAAACAGCGAGGACAGACACAGGAGCAGGTAAAGGCATTTTATGCATGTAAAAAAAACAAAAATCTAATGATATATGATACACCGTATAGCGGGTAAATTTGGATGGGCGAAATTTTGGCAAATTGCTAAATTATTTTGGTGATTGGCTGTTTTTAATTTGGCGAATTTGTGGCCACGTGCTATTGGCCATTGAGCATGCGTATAATGACTCAAAATGGCAGATTTTTATTTTGGCAAATGGCTATCAAAACGCCAAATTTGCCAAGTTTAATCCCCTCTAAAATTTTCTGCTATAAAATTTTTATAGCGGAAAATTAAATTTTAAATTTAAATTAATTTAAAATTAACTATAAAAATTTTCTGCTATTGGTTTTAATTTTAAAGTGAAGTACATGTATGCATCGAAAGGTGTCAAATTGCCCAAATTGATACTAGTTGATGCTAGTCAAATTGATACTAGTGTCATTATCATAAACCAGGCTTTAGATTCAGTCCTTATATAGTCGTCTAGTTATAATAATCATTAATTATTTTTTTAGGCAAAAGGTTAAAGATTATCAAAGTGCTACACACTTTCTCGATGCGACCACACTGATCAGAGAAACTGATGATGCAAGTGATGAACCACAAGTTCCTCATAAGACTCCAATCAAATATATAAGAGGAGAAGAAATTAATTTACAATGGAGCTAGCTAGTGACCTTATTGTTATGCACATACTACATCTTTTAACTAGTGACTGGAAGTATATGTATTTTATACAATTTAGGGCAACTATTTATTTATTTTTGTTTTACATAATGTAACTATAAGATCAAGGTTACCAAAAAGACTGTGGCATATTGTACTCAAAATTTGACAAGACAACTTATGTTGCATTGAAAGTTTGAGCTGATTCCGATCAAAATTGGATTTTTTGGGTATTTCTTAAGTTGCTCCAAAATCGGGCCAAAGTCCCTGTACTATATATAGTACAGTGTCATTGGCCAGATTTTGCCAAAAATTAAAAGTAGAGAATTCTTCACTTTTATAATTTTTTCTAATGCATATACATGTACTTATGTTGCATTGAAAGTATTGGCAAATTTAATCAAACATTGCAAGGATAGAACACTCAATACTTTTCTGATACATGTACATGTTCCTATTATTGTGTAGAATTTTAAGCCTGAGCTGACTCCAATTAAAATTAGATTTGTAGAAGGAACTCAAAAATTGGGCTAAAGTCTCTGTACACATGTACATGTATAGTACAGGGTATTTGACCATAAATATTATGTCAAAATTGGGGAGAAAAATTTTTATTTTTATAATAATTACTATTCATACATTATACATGTACACGTTCTTATGATGTGTAGAAAGTTTGAGCTGATTCCAATCAAAGATAGATTTTTTTTAATTTCATGTACTAATTGTCAGCTCACTAGCATGCTGTTTAGCCTATATATCTATGGTTTAGCTCACTTAGTGGGAAACACTCATTAGGATATGGGTATGTCCAACTGCAACAGGATAACAAAAGATTCTTCATCTACTCTACTTAAAATTTTATGCTGTGTACGTAAATGTACATGTACATGCACATAAATTCATAGACACTTTTTGGCAAAAATATCAATAACTTATACAGCTTTAATAATACAGGTATGTGTATGGCATTTGGCCAAAAAATCAGAATTGGCACAATTAAACTTGGGTCTTGAGTGTGCAGTACATCTGTACATGCCCAGTACATTTTTGTAACTATTTATCTTGAAAATTGCACAAATTCATGGATGCATGAGATAGAATTTTGATTTAATAAAGCAACATGACTTTGGCTTGAATTAAAATTATAAGATCTTATGACATACCGTATAGGGGTTATAGTTAACTGGAAATAAATTTCGCAAATTTCGCATTTTCATTAAATTCGCGAAATTAAATTCAACAAAAGAGGTGTGGCACACTAGGAAAAATGGCTGCAGAAGGTAGATTCGCGAAAATTTATACCAACAAATGGCAAATCTGGACAAATTCGCGAAACTTTATACCAACAAAATAAAACCCCTATACGTACATCTATTATGTAAATGTAGATATGCGAATGCCAGTGTCTAATGAGTGTATTATGTATTTCTCAATATTCTTATTCTGTTATTTTTAAGACAATCTTTAAATATATTATTTATTCTATAAACACATCAACATAGCAACATACAACGAAACATAAGATCTGTAATAATAATAATAATAACACATTAGCATGAGGCAAATAATTATTATTGTCACTATTGCTTGTTGAAGTATCTATTAAATCATAAGAAACTTATAAAACATTATATCAATACAAAACTGCCTTACTCATGTTTGGCCCATCGTGACAGTTGAATGAGTTGAGCTGTTTCATTCGAGAAATGACATGCAAACAAGAGCATATTCCTTGGCTGGACTTTAATAGCAAATCTCATGAACAGTAAAGAATATATGCATAATGCTAAAGAGAGAGAGGGAGAGAGGTAGGAGATACATGCAGGGAGAGAATAGAGGGGGAGAGAGGGAAAAAGAAAGGTAAGAAAGAGAGGGAGAAAGAGAGATGGGAAGAGAGAGAGAATAGAGGGGGAGAGAGAGAAAGGTAAGAGAGACGGAGAGAGAAAGAGAGAGGAGTAGGAGAAAGCAATGTTAATGATATTCATATCATAACTATAATGCTACTAATTTTTTGTGCTTACCAACGGTCATCTTTGGACTGATGTACTTTGGATCTTTCTTCATATCTTGTATAGCAGCTAATGGCAGCCCCCAGTTAGCAACTGATCATTAATAAAAGAAGAACAGTACCTTACTCACTATAGCCCTGTAGGCCTACTACTTACCTGGTCCCCAGAAATGCTAAAAGTAAAACAATAAATTAAATGTAATGAGGAAAATATTGGACTTACGGTGCTGTTGTAGAAGAATACAGTAACGAGAGAAACATAAATAAAAGAAAAATAAGAGGAAGTAATTTCAGCTTGACTAAACAACTATGCACAATACATGTGAATTCCATTAAGTTCACACCTCACACAGAAATGGGTGGAACATCATTTCATTGATGTATGACACAACACTTCATGAAGTACTCATTCAACATATAATGAAAAAAAAATTAATGTGCACATTCGTAATGGAGCCCTTTAATCGACCATTCACAGAAAATACATGCTACGATTAATGCAAATCTCCATGGTTGCCATATCCCTAGTCTTGCCCCGCCCGACTACCATATCCCATTCACAAATATTATTGAAGGAGGGTAACAAGACACTTTCGTTTATCTACACTCTCCTTATACTGGCCCTAGGCCTCAGACACATGTTATTAAACACCAAATACAAGCAGCATTGTCCGGCATTGGCTGGACTAGTTTGTTGTCAGTAACACCTCACTAATTGCATACATTTTTAATACTGTGAAACAGTCAGACTAACAATTAAATTGAGTCTTTACCTCATGAAGTATGATCTCCATTCAGGAGACCTTAACGGAGCGAGTAATCGGCTAGCCATCTTCTTCACTGCTTCTGATCTTCTGCTGCGTTGCTATGCTAAGCCTGACCTCCTCCTTTATTATTCAATGAATTTTAAATTAGTGTGATCTATGAATATTAAATTTGAAAATATACAAACGTGAACGAAAACTTCACGTTAAAGAACACGTGCCAGCTGTGCCACGTGGTTTCAGTTGGGCCACAGGGCCAGGGCGGGAAAGATGGAAGCGCTGTTTGAGGTTTTTTCTGCCCCTTCTTCTCCCTCATCTCCCTCATCTCCCTCTCCTCTTCCCGCGTCTCCTTCTAAACCTTCACCTGTTCCTCAATCCTCTCGCTCTAGTGAAGAAGGTAAGACAAGGCCCTTAATCAGTTCTTGGACTTATTGGCTTGCCACCTGCTTCGCTGACTTTACCTTGCCCACATTTTGTTTTCTATTCTACGCCTTTCTATTTTAGATTTTCCCGTGCTCTATTGTTCTTCATTTGCTGGGAGGACTGCCAAGTTACTGCACAATGGATTTGTGAAGCAGGGTCTGTTACAATGGTATGATAATGAGTGTTTAATGGAAGGTGTGCTTTTGACTTAATAATAATGAAGGATTGGGATTTCTCTTTCCTGTAGTGCAAGGGTTGTACATGTATTTACTGCTTGCCTTGTTTAATGAATAGGATTCTTTGTGTGACATTGAAAATGTTATTATGTATGTGACTATGTGCATGTACAACTATGACAGTATCCTGTTCTTAGCTTCTTTGTTTGATTAATTCTACAATGTACATGTATGTTCATTCCTTTATCCTGTCTATTCATTGACAGCAGACATCAGGGCTGGTGTTGAGTTTCTGCAGAATAAATTTGAAGCCTTTCAAAAATCATCACCCCACCTCTGCTTGTTTATAGTTTATACTGTCAGTCTAGTGTTCAGCCCAATGTATAAACTAGTGGTCTATGGTAGACAATTCCTAACACCACATTAACAAATCTTTATTCTAGAAGGGATGGGGATGTGTATACTGCCAATAGTGCAAGGGGTTTATGGGCTAAAGCCTCTCTCACCCTCTTAAAGTAGAAATGTCTTAGCACCAGCTAAATTCCTTTTAAAATGTAGCTGTGAAGTACATGTAGCATGTCCATGATCTATAGCCCGTGCTAACTTGCAAAAATTTGCTTTCACTTTACACGTTCTTATTGATGTTGTTATGCAAATGCAATGTGCTGTTTCTGACTGATGGGTTTAACCATAATTATTTTAAATGTATATACAAATTTTTAGAAATACATGTACGTGCACCTTGGGCTAGAGTCTATTACAGTATTATTGTGTACTTCTATGATCTAATATTTATAACAGTTCCCAAAGCATTAATATTGGTGATTGGAAGTTCTGTGAAGAAATCACTTTTGTCCTAAAACTAATTTGCCACATTTACACGCACATATACATGCATATTTTTCATCTTATTGGGCATTCTTTTTAAATTATTTTTTATTTCTAGTATTTTAGATTGCACTGATTGTTTTCCCCATTGCTTCACTGGTGGATACATTCCTTTGTTTGGTCACATGACAGTCACATGCTCTTCCTTACATAACAACAATAGCAACAGTTTATTCTTAATATTCAGACACCATTTATACAATATAATCAGCTCTACTGGCAACAGTAAGTACTTAACATGTAAATTAATTTGTTTATTATTATAATATTATTATTATTATTATTATTATTATTATTATTATTATTATTATTAGGTGTATCGTTGAAGTATTGTTGCGAGTTTCTTCATTTCATTGTTACCTACGTCTCTCGCTTGTCTTTAATGACACACACTGCAACACTTGACGGCATCATCACTAATCTGACCAATACAATCCAGTTGTTAGAGTCATGTGACCAATTGAACGAAGACGGGATACATGTATTATTACATGTTTATTGGACGATGGTATCACTACTATACACAGCAGTA